GGAATTAGAAATACCATTTGACCCAGCCATTCCATTACTAGGTGTATATCCTAAAGAAGTGAGAGCCATGACACAGATAAATGCATACCCATGTTCATCACAGAACTATTTACAATAGCCAAAAGATGGAAACAACCTAGGTGTCCATCAACTTAGTAACGGATAACCAAACTATGGTACATAAACACAATGGAATACTATGCAACACTAAAGAATAATGTAGAATCTGCAAAACACCTCACAATGTGGATGAACTTGGAGGACATTATACTGAGTGAAATAAGTCAATCACAAAAGGACAAATATTGTATTAGTCTGTAATTGTAAAAGTTAAGGAAAGGTTTTTCTATAGAAGGAAATTTTCTTTGTTGGTTACCAGGAGTGGGAGGGGTGGGGAGGGAACACTGTTAGATAGATAGAGATAAGTATTGATTTGGGTGAAGAGAAGGGCAACGTACCAAATGTGAGTGACCAGTATGGCACCAATGAGGATGAGAAAGACAGAGAGGCACATGGGAGGTACAGATAACAAATATGAACCCTTCTGCACATACAGTACTGTGTTGTCAGTGAAGGCTAACATGGGTATATGGGTGGATAGATGGGTGGACAGGATGAACGATTAGGTATGTCTATGAAATGGGGAGTGTATCTAATAACATGTATAGGGTTGGCAGACAATGGTGCTATAAGTTTATGTGAATGATCAGAATTCCCAGGTGTATAGTAGAGCTGACAAGGGGCAAGGTTGTGGTCACAGCTTGGTCACAGCCAGCTACCCAGAGGGACCAAGTAGTTGAACCTGTGGGCTTGGGACCATAGTCGCAAGGGGACATCAAGCTCAATTGGCATAATATACTATGTAAAACATTGTTCCACCTCCTTCTTTGGCAAGTAGCGACTGGGATCTTCAAAGCTAGCAAGCTGCCATCTAGATGCAATGATGGGTCTCTCCTCATCCAGAGCAATGAAGGATGAAGAAAACCAAAATTCATGGAAATAATTAGTCCTAGTGACTGGTACACCATCCAATCTGCAGCCAACTATGAGACCAGAAGAACTAGATGGCGCCTGGCTACCACTTTCATCTACTTGAAAGGGGAGCTGTTGCACTGTGGGAAATTGCAGTCAATGTCATGAGACAAAGTGTATGTGAATTGCTGTATGGAAAATGAACTTGCTCTGCAAACGTTCACCCAAATCACAATTTAAAAAAAAAAAAAGTTCCTAGTAAAAACAAACTGTGTGTGAACTGTTGAATGGAAATTCATTAATTTGCACTGTAAACTTCCAATAAAAAGCTAAAAAAAAAGATAGGATTCCAAAAGATAGAGCAAATACTGCATATGATACCAGTTAAGAGAGATTAAATTTCTCCCTTCATGAGTTGTCTCACCTTTTGAACTTTCTCTTCTAGATTACTTTGGTCATCACAGGGTTCCATTCTAGTTGAAAATTAAATAACCCAATTAGTCATAACAAAATCACATGGTAATTTAACATTCAAAGAGCTGAATGACCTGCAAACCCACCCAATAACAACCATTCCAATTAAAAACAGAAAAAAATTCTAGCTCAAAGCAACAATAATGCACTGGAAAGAGAACTGGACTAGATGTCAGAATTACATTCTAGTCCTATCATTATCTAGCTATTTAAATATTATTTTCATTAATGTTTCTGGTACTTCCAGCTTCTTTACCTGTAAAACGCTGGAGCTGAACTAATACCTAAGGTGACTTTCAGCTCTAAAAGTCACTTACTTTTTTATGTGGTTTTGTAGTGCTATACATTCTGCTCTCATTTCTCGTACTTGCTTAACTGATAATCTGCAACAACAAAAAAAAGTCAATTATAATTCCTCTACAATTACCTAGTATAGCCATCTTTGATATTTTCAGTCTTTTCATACTTTTGCTCTAGGCCTATAGGGATTACACTTCCAAATACACCCAGCAACCAGCCAAAGGGCTCAGGACTCCCTCCAAAGGACACTGCTTTCAATTACAGGTGTAATCTAACAGATAAGCTGCTACTGACATTAACCATGACTACTAGGCAAGAATAACATCCCTGAGTAAAAATGTTGGTGGTTAGTAAGAGTACTGGCTCTCTTATCTTTGTCTCACATACCTACAGGGTACATTTAAATTTTATCTAAAGCAGTCAAGCCATATTTCAATTTAAAGGCTATTTCAAAGGACTTTGTAGCTTTAATAAAAGTAAGAAAATATTAAAAGTTATCTTACTATAGTTGTTTATAATTGTAAAAAAATTAGACACAACCTACTCCTAAATAAGAAACTTACCTATCTTATTTAATGCTGTAGCACCAGAACCTAAACTAAAATCTGGCATAAAGTAGACACTCAAAAAATAAATAAAACAGTTTGTTGAATAAATGAAACTAAATACAAAATAGTATGAAACAGTTCATAAAATTCTGGAATAGCTATTGGACAGAAAATCTACTTAATGGAGTATCTACTTTACAGACTATTAAACAGATTTAAAAATTAGTATGTTATGGCAATACGGAAAATTTACAGAACAAAATTCTTAAAAAGGATACAAAATAAAATGAACATTAACTACAACTTTTAAAAAAGAAATATATTTACATATTAAAAAAGAAAAAGCACATATGAAAATTGAATTTTTCCCTTTTATCTAAACTTTCACTTATATTACAGTATGCCTAAAGTTTTCAAATACTTTATTCAGAAGCTCTCTGGCTTTAAAACTGAAGACAGCCGCCAATGTTTCAAGGTGTTTTTAGTTGCCATCAAGTAGATTCCAACCCAAGACAACCCCATGTGTGCAGAATTATCTGCTCCATAGGGTTCTCATAGCTGTGACTTCTCAGAAGGAGATCGCCAGGCCTTTCTTCTAAGGCACCTCTGGGTGGGTTTGAACTGTCAATCTTTGGGCTAGTAGCTGAGCACTTAACCATTTTAAAATTGGCAGGAATTATTTCCACTGAAATTATATTGATGACATTTGTTCAAAATGAAAAGAACTTTCATTTTCTCATTATCAAAGTAGGACTTACTGTGCATTTTCCTGATATTTTCGGGTAACACAATCTTGTCTTTGCAAAATTTGGAAAAATCTGTTACGTGCTACATGGCATCTAGCAATACACTTATGCAAATCTTGTGGCTTTACATTAAATGTCTCTGTAAAATGTACAGGAGAATCTACATGGAACACAAAGAAGAATGAGAATCAGAAAAATCTATGACTTGATATGGGATAGTGTCTAAAATGATAATGTTAAGGGAAAAAGCCAAGATTCAAAACTGTATGTATACTCGTGAAAAGCCATAATGATTACAAGGATTTCTCTACAATAATGTACTCAAGACTAACATTACCAGTTTTCAGACTGACTGAAAGGATTGTAAAAATACTCCAGCATTTCAGAGGTCTTAGTTACAATTATAGCATTAAGGTTATCTTTCTGCTGTTTGTTGTCCTGCTTGGTTGAGTAGCACAATTAAAGATTACGCCTCCCTCAATCCCACAAAAAAAAGTACATAAAATGTTACCATTTATGGTTTTACAAAGAATATATACATATTTCCTTGTACTGCTGATTAAAGTGGTTGCCTCTAGGAAGGAAAACTAGGTAGCTAGAGAACAGAGATGGAAGGAAGACATTTTTACTTCTTGATTTTTGATCCAGAATTTATTACCAATTCAAAGTAAATGAAATGTATAGATATAATATATGCACTGAAAAAAAAGTAAAAGGAAATAAACCAAAATGTCAGCAATGGTTGTCTCCAGAAATTAGAAGATGGATAGGGTGTACTGCTTCAATGTTTTTGTATTTTCTATGTTTTATGAGCACAAACAATTAAAGTAGCATATTTAATAAGCTTTAAAACATAAAGTGTTAGTTTGCAAGATTCAATTTTTTTGTTTATATGAATTAGCAAATAGATCAAACTCCTTTAAAACAGATACTAAAAAAAAATTTCAGCACATTGCTAGTAACAAATTTCAGATACATTCAACAGTGCATTTGGCATAATGTATTAGAGCAGGGGTTGGCAAACTATGAATGCAGTTCAAATCTGGCCCATTTCCTGTTTTTGTGAGGCCTATAAACTAGGAATGGTTTTTGCTTTTAAAGGATCATAAAACACAAAAAACAAAAACAAGCAAACAAATATGCAATAAAAACTGTACATGACCCAAAGCCTAAAATATTTGCTATCTGGCCTTTTATAGTTTCCTGACCCCTATATTAGAGCATAATAAAATAATCTGCATACTTATTTTATGTTCATTATGAGAGGATTTCAAATTACAGTTCCAGAACATTAGTATTTGCTTTTGAGGTACATTAACTTACCTTGCTTTATTAAAATCCCTTAATAATTTATAAATTATAAAGAATAATAATAATTTAAGAATTAAAAAAAAAAGATTTCCTACTATAAACTTAACTTACTTTTAGAATAGGTTTTAATATATTTTATTGCAACATATCTTGCAAAATGATACATTAGATGAACAAACTTCGGACCTCCAGGAGAAATAAACAGTGAACCAACAACTTGAGGAAAGCTACCTCCACATTCAGCCTATGGAAAAAAGAAATGATTTTAAGATTTTCTTAACAATAATGCTTTATATTTACATCATACTATTTTTGAAGGCGCCCTAGTGGTGCAACAATCAACTACTCAGCTAGGAACCAAAAAGTTGGTGGATCAAACCCACTTAGCAGTTCTGAATTGGAGAAAAATCTGGTGATCTCTGCTGTGAAGATTACAGCCAACAAAATCCTATGGGGAAGTTCTACTTGATCACATGTGGTTACTATGAGTTGGAATCGATTCGACAACACTCAACAATATTTTTGAAGTAATTAAACAAATGTATAGCATGGATTTTTACCACAATAAAAAACGTCTATCTGCTTAATACAATTTCAAAGTAATTTTAAAGTGCCATGCTGGAGTAAAGGTCCACTGTAGCAAAAGCTAAAGATGGCCACTCCTGTCCTCTTAGCACACCACCTCAAAAGCTTCCAACTCTAAGCACCTGTAACTCTCGTTAAAAGTGTGCTCTGGCCACTGCACCCTATGAACCCCACCTCAGCCTTTATGCACAGAATAAACATAAAAAGTCAAGGAGTCAGCAGCCCTCACACAAACGACTGACAGGTTGTTGCTGTTACTGATAGTTGCCCTTGATTCATCTCTGACTTATGCTCAAAACCATGAAGGACTGAGGTGCTCATCTTTCCTTTCTGCCATCTTCAGCTCACTGAACTTATTCTCATGCTGTGTTCCCTCATATTAAGCCACAGTGTTAACCAACCCTTTAGCCATCCTATAACAATAAAGGTCATTATTATTTAAAAAAAAAACCTGAGCCCAAGTTTTTCCCTACTTTGTTAAGAGAAGCTGCAAAAGAAAGACTTAGCATGGTAAATTACTGTTCAGGCTTTGAGGACCTAGAGTGACAATTACATGTGTGGCTGAGTCTAATTCATCTTTATAAACCCAGCATCTAACACAATGCCTGGCACAATGTAGCTTTTTAACATGTGCTTATATTTGTTAAATAAGTAAAAACAAAACTTTTCCCTAATGAAATTCTAATTTAATCTATGTTTAAAGCCATCATTAAGAAGAATTTATGTGGTCCTGTAGGAGATATACACCCACAGGACACTATATCCAAAATTCTTCAATATCAGTCTTTCAAAATGCTTGTCAATTTTGTCGAGCTAAAGAAAAACATGGTAGAGTAAAGAATACTCAGCAGAGTACAGAAGCCCCAAAATACTCTCCAAGTATGCAAGGATTTAAAAGTTATATTTCATGAAGACTGCAAAGATTTCCAAACATATGTCAGTGTATGTAAGTGACAAAGAAAATACATCCTCCTAAAGCTCTACAATATAGGTATCACAGTTTAGCTTAAGACTCGGGTATTCATTCCATTATCTAGAATAAAAGCTTTGATCAGGATTATTTTATTTTGAACTACAGGTTTGATTTTTTTAATTTTTCTAAATGCCAGGAAGACTTGGTCACAAAAAATGTTCTAATAATAAAGCCACAATTACTGACACTATTTAGGGAAACAAGCTAAAATAATCTATGGTCAAAAAAAAAGTTTTTGTCACGCAAAAACCCTGATATAAACTGCTACAATCTCTAAAGCCCACTTCTGATCTATTTGGCAAAACTGGTTTATCTGAAATACACAGTCCCAACCAAAACCTATTTAAAAGTATTATTCTACAAAACAACAATGAGATATCATCTTGCCCCAGCACTAGTAGCAAAGTTCAACAAGACAGAAAATAACAAATGCTGGCAAGAATGTGGAGAGATTGGGACTCTCATACACTGCTGATGGGACTGTAAAACTGTACAATCACTGTGAAGCAGTATGGAGATTCCTTACAAAGTCAGAATTAGAAATACCATTTGACCCAGCCATTCCATTACTACATATATATCCTAAAGAAGTGAAAGCCATGACAAGAACAGACATACGCACTGTTAATCGCAGCACTATTTACAACAGCCGAAAGATGGAAACAACCTAGGTGTCCATCAACTGAGGAAGGATAACTCAACTCTGGTACATATACACAATGGAATACTATGCAACACTAAAGAATAATGTAGAATCTGCAAAACACCTCATAACGTGGATGAACTTGGAGGACATTATGCTGAGTGAAATAAGTCAATCACAGAAGGACAAATAATGTACTAGTCTGTTATTGTAAAAGTCAAGGAAAGGTTTATCTATGGAAGGAAATTTTTTTGTTGGTTACCAGGGGTGGGAGGGGAGAGGAGGGAACACTGTTAGATAGGCAGAGATAAGTATTGATTTAGGTGAAGAGAAGGGCAATGTACCAAATGTGAGTGATCAATATGGTGGCGTTGAGGAAGAGGAAGACATGGAGAGGTACATGGGAAATACAAACAACAAAGATGAACCCTTTTGCACATAAAGTACTGCGTTGTCAGTGAAGGCAAACATGGGCATACAGGGGGGATATTTGGGTGGACAGGCTGAACTACTAGGTATGTTTATGAAGCAGGGAGCGTACACAAGACCATGTATAGGGTTCCACACAATGGCCCTATAAGTGTATTTGTATGATCTGAATTCCCAGATGTATAGTAGAGCTGACAAGGGACAAGGTTGCAGTCACTTCTCGGTCACAGGCAGCTACCCAGAGGAACCAAGCAGGTGAACCTGTGGGCTCAGGACCATAGTAACAGGGGACATCAAGCTCAAGGCATACCATACTACACAACATTGTTCCACCTCCTACTTTGGCAAGTAGCAACTGGGATCTTAAAAACTTGCAAGCAGTCATCTAGATGCAATGATGGGTCTCTCCTCGTCCAGAGTAAAGAAGAATGAAGAAAACCAAAGATTCATGGAAACAATTAGTCCCAGTGACTGGCACACCATGCGATCTGCAGCCTATACGACTATGAGACCAGAAGAACTAGATGGTGCCCGGCTACCACTGTCAACCACTTGGAGGGGGATCTATGTAGGAGATCATGGATAGAGAGGGAGAACAATGTGGAGCAAAACTCAAAATCATTTGGAAAAAAATAAATAAATAAAAGGAGACCAGGCTTCCTGGTCTGATAAAGCCTGTGGGAACCCCTGAGACTATGGCCCCTAGTTCCCCTTCAGGTCTGGTATTGAACCCACATCTGTGACTTCTAGCCAAACAAAAGACAGGCATATGAGTTGAACATTTACCTGAGGTAGATACACTCCTTGGAGAGAACAATCACAGAAGAAAGAAGGGCTGTTCATGCACAGGGAGACAGCTCAGGAGGCAGGGTTGCACGGAGGGATGGACACAGGGAAGAGGTGACTGTCAGGAGGAAGTGGGAGGGGAGCTGTTGCATTGTGGTGAACTATGGTCAATGTCATGAGACAAAGTGTATGTGAACTGCTGTATGGAAAGTGAATTTGCTCTGTAAATTTTCATCTAAATCACAATTAAAAAGAAAACGTATGATTCTAATTAATATTTCCTGGCTGAACCGTTAGCATAAAAGTATTAATAATATTTCACATCTAAAAATTTAATATAGTTTTTATAACTTCTTCAAGTTTCCATCTTTCAGAAAGAAAATACTTACAGAAATTTTTTTTAACCATTCACAGCAGTGTTTCCGGAATTCAGCATCACGTTTTTGGTCAAATGGAGGCCAGCAAAATCTTATTAAAAAAATATAGGAGAATTAAAATCACGAACAAAAAACAAACTCAGCAAACTTTTAAAATATCAGACTTATCTCCTCAACTAGAAACATGAATGATAAGTGGATTAAGGATAACATTCTTCTATTTCACCTAGAGAGAGACACCAGCTTGTGAGAAAGTGGTTCTTTTTCTTTAAAAATATCTATAAAGTTGATTTTAGTTTAATGCAAATAATCAATGAATAAGTATATTAAATGAGGAATGAATAGCTGTTAAAATTACTGAAAATCAGCTAAAAGGTCAAAATTCTCAATGGATCCAAAGGGCTAATGTATAAAGATGGCATAAATAAACTAGTATGCTAAACCTCAAAACAAAGAATCTTGCTGGAGTGGTACAAATGGTTACACATGAAGAATGGAAAAGGAACAACATGAGAAATTATAACTCCCAGAGATGACACATATTACAGTCAGCAGGTACTACTGTTTTGAAGCTAAACAAGACATAAAAAAAAGAAAAGTTTTGATTCTGCTTTAGTCAAAATACTAGACTTCATAATTTACTTACTGTTTTTCCCTGATACTAAGAGCTTTGTCTAACCTTTTATTCTGAGACATAATTGTTTAAGGCCCCATGTGTTTAATGTTTATATAACATAAAATACATTAAATATGCATAGAAAAAGAATAAATATACATAGCAAAAGAAAAGACTAAAAAGTTGAAATGCTGACAGTGACATTCTGTGGTTGGTAGGTCTAGGAATGATTCTGACCTCCTCTTCTACATTTTTCCTGTATTTTCTGAATTGGGTAAGTGGGGTGTTATTGCCTAAGGGGTACTGACTTTCTATTAAGATTGGAAATAGATACAAGTGATGGTTGTATAACATGGTGAATGTAATTAACGTCATTGACTTGTACATATAAAAATGTCGAAATGGCAAATGTTTTGCTATATACCATTAATTTTAGCACATTAATATTAAAAAGAAAAAAATCTAAGCAACAAATTATGATACCTTTTAAGGTAGCTTTACTATTAAAAGAAATTTTAAAAATGCCTACTTCAATAAAAATGCAAACAAGAAAAAAATTTTTTTAATATTTTTCAGATAAAAGAATCACAAATTACATGCATACAAAATAACTTGGAACCAAAGCTAATGAGTGTTCACATTTTTATTTCCTTCTTAAACTATGTAATATTCAATAGTATATAATCAGTTAAACTTAATAGGTATGATTTTTATTATTAACATTTTAATATTGATAAATATCAATAACAAAAATTAAAATTTACAGTGAATTGGAAAGAGAAAGAACTCAAAACAAATAACAATGCTTATAGGAAAAGGAGTAAGACATGGGGTCTTAGCAAAACAGCAGGGTAAAACTGAGTATATAGATAGACTGAAACCAGTTGATTATTTTGCCTAACGTTTAAAACCATGAGGAATGCTAGAAGAAAATCCTATAAAACTAATTCTATAAAATTAGTGATTTTATGATGTGTGATTTTAAGTACCAAAAAAAAAAAAACCTCAGATTTATAAAGATTAAGTACTAAATTTCTAAGACTCAAACCTGAGTTTTGTGGCATCCTTTCAAAATAGTCAAAAGCAAAATTTGAAATTTTGGCTTATATCAAGGCATAGTCCACTTTCTAATTTGAGAATGACTACTTATGAAAAGAAAAAAAAAAACATTTCCTCACTTGAAAACTTCCTTGGTAAGAGACTGGTCCAGCATTTGAAACAAAAAATAAGAAACTACTTGAAAGGCATCACGGTTCAGCTTGTCAAACATGCTCCTAGTGGTTTTCAAAAACAGAAGCAAGGGAAGAAAAGGAAAGTGATTAATAAAACTAAACATCATCAAAATCTGTGTAACAATTAGACACAAATTAAAATTTTTCATTCTCTTGAAGAGGTCAAGACAAATTTTTCGTGCACTGTATAATCAGTTAAGAAAAACAAACATGTTTTTATACTTTGATCCCTAGAAAATACACATCCAATCTAAGAAAACTGGCAGAACTTATTTTATGGCAATTAAAACACTCTACAAAGAAATGGAAGAAAAGCCTAATTAGGTGGAGAAAGAACCATAGCCTATTAAAAGATGATACCAACCACCACTTAATGAATAACAATATAAATAGCTAATATTTATTAGTTTACTATTTGCCAGATATTATTTTAAGCCTTTCACAGGTAGTAAGTCATCTAATCTTCACAACAATCAAAGGAGGATTTAAGTATGTGCTAAATGCTTTAACTATTCATAACGAATATCCACTTCTGAAAAATTGGCCAGGGAAAACCTTATGGATAGATAGCAGTGAAACACTGCCTAATATATATTATCAGAAAACTTTACAAATAGCCCTGAAACATTGTTGATATAGTGTCAGATGACCCCTCACGTTAGAAGGCACCCAAAATATGACTGGGGAAGAGCTGCCTGCTCAAAGTAGAGCTAACCATAATGACGCAGATGGAGTAAAGCTTTCAGGACCTTCATTTGCTCATGGGGCACAACTTAAAATGGGAAGAAACAGCTGCAAACATCCATTAATAATTGTATCATGGAATGTATAAAGTATGAATCTAGGAAAACTGGAATTTGTCAAAAATGAAATGGAATGGAAAAAGATCAATATTCTAGGCATTAGTGAGCTGAACTGGACTGGTACTGGCCATTCTGAATCAGACAACCATATGGTCTACCATGCTGGGAATGACAAATTGAAGAGGGATGCCATCACATTCATCATCAAAAAGAATGTGTCAAGATCAATCCTCAAATATAATGCTGTCAGTGATAGAATAATATCTATATACCTACGAGGAAAACCAGTTAACACTACTATTATTCAAATTTACACACCAATCACTAAAGCCAAAGATGAAGAAATAGAAGATTTTTACCAACTTCAGCAGTCTTAAATTGACTAAACACAAGATCAAGATGTATTGATTACTGGTGATTGGAATGTGAAAGTTTAAAACAGAGAAGAATCATTAGTAATTGGAAAATATGGTCTTGGTGACAGAAATGATGCCAGAGATCACATGACAGAATTTTGCAAGACCAAGGATTTATTTGTTGCGAGTATCTTGTTTCAACAACATAAGCAGCAACTATACACCTGGACTCTCACCAGATGGAATACACAGAAGTCAAACTGACTACATCTGTGGAAAGAGGCGATGGAGAAAGTCAGTATCATCAGTCAAAATAAGGCCAGGAAAAAATGGGTATATGGATGGATAGATAGGTGGACAGGCTAAACAATTAGTATGTCTATGAAATGGGGAGTGTATCCAAGATCATATATAGGGTTGGCAGACAATGGTCCTATAAGTTTATGCGAATGATCAGAATTCCCAGGTGTATAGTAGAGCTGACAAGGGGCAAGGTTGTGATCACTGCTTGGTCACAGCCAGCTACCCAGAGTGATCAAGTAGTTGATTCTGCAGGCTTGGGACCATAGTCACAGGGGACATCAAGCTCAATTGGCATAACATACTATACAAAACATTGTTCCACCTCTTACTTTGGTGAGTAGCTACTGGGATCTTAAAAGCTAGCAAGCTGCCATCTAGATGCAACGATGGGTCTCTCCTCATCAAGAGCAAAGAAGAAAGAAGAAAACCAAAATTAATGGAAATAATCAGTCCTTGCGACTGGTACACCATCCAATCTGCAACCTATACAACCATGAGACCAGAAGAACTAGATGGTGCCCGGCTACCACTGTCATCCACTTGGAAGGGATGTAGGAGATCCTGGATAGAGAGGGAGAACAATGTGGAACAAAACTCAAAATCATTTGGAGGGGAAAAAAAAAGATGGTGGGGAGCAGGTTTGCTGGTCCAATAGAGCCTGATGGAACCACTGAGACTATGGCCCCTAGCTGCCCTTCAGGTCTGGAATTGAACCCACACCTGTGGTTTCCAGCCAAACAAAGTACAGGCAGGTGAGTTAAACATTTACCTCAAGTAGACACACGCCCTGAAGAGAACAACCATGGGAGAAGGAAGGGCTGCTTATGCACAGGGAGACAGCTCAGGGGGCAGGAGAGTATGCAGGGATGGACACTGGGAAGAGGTAACTATGGGGAGGAAGTGAGAGGGGGGCTGTTGCATTGTGGTAAACTGTGGTCAATGACATGAGACAAAGTATATGTGAACTGCTGTATGGAAAGTGAATTTGCTCTAAATCATCACCCAAATCACAATAAATAATAAAAAAAATAAGGCCAGGAGTTGACTGTGGAACAGACCATCATTTGCTCACATGTAAGTCCAAGTTGAAGCTGAAGACAATTAAAATAAGTCCATGAGAGTCAAAATATGACCTTGAGTATATCCCACCTGATTTAGAAATCATCTGAAGCATAGAGTTGATGCATTGAAAGCCAATGACCGAAAACCAAGAACACCATACATGAAGAAAACAAAAGGTCATTAAAAAGACAGGAAAGGAAGAAAAGACCAAAATGGCAGTCAGAAGAGATTCTGAAACTTGCTCTTGAATAGAGAGTAGCTAAAGCAAATAGAAGAAATGACAAGATAAAAGAGCTGAACAGAAGATTTCAAAGGGTGGCTCGAGAAGTCAAAGTAAAGTATTATAATGAAATATGCAAAGACCTGGAGTTAGAAAAACAAAAGGGAAGAACACACTCAGCATTTCTTAAGCCAAAAGAAGTGAAGAAAAAATTTCAAGCCTCAAATTACAATACTGAAGGATTCTATGGGCAAAATATTGAATGATTCAGGAAGCATCAAAAGAAGATAGACTACACAGAGTCACTGTATCAAAAACAACTGATTGATGTTCAACCACATCAGGTGGTAGCATATGAACAAGAACCAATGGGACTGAAGGAAGAAGTCCAAGCTGCATTGAAGAACTGGCAAAAAAAAAAAAAAAAAAAAGGCTCCAGGAATTGACAGAATACCTATTGAGACATTTCAACAAATGGATGCAGCACTGCAGATGCTTACTCATTTATGCCAAGAAATTTGGAAGGCAGCTACCTGGCGAACTGACTGGAAGAGATCAATATTTGTGCCCATTCCAAAGAAAGGTGATCCAAGAGAATATGGAAATTATCGAACAATATCATTAATATCTCATGCAAGTACAACTGTGCCAAAGATAACTCAAAAATGGTTGCAGCAGTATATTGACAGGAAACTGCCAGAAAATCAAGCTGGATTCAGAAGAGGATATGGAACGAAGGATGTCACTGCTGATGTCAGATGAATCCTGGCTGAAAGCAAAGAATACCAGAAAAATGTTTACCTGTTTTTTATTGACTATGCAAAGGTATTTGACTGTGTGGATCATAACAGGTTATGGATAACAATGCAAAGAACGGGAATTCCAAAACACTTAATTGTGCTCATGAGGAACCTGTACATAGACCAAGAGGCTGCCGTTGAAACAGAACAAGGGGATACTGCAGAGTTTAAAATCAGGAAGGGTGTGCATCAAGGGTATATGCTTTCACCATACTTATTCAATCGGTATGCTGAGCAAACAATCTGAGAAACTGGATAAAGAACGCAGCATCAGAACTGGAGAAAAACTCATTAACAACCTGCAATATGCAGATAACACAACCTTGCTTGCTGAGAGTAAAGACTTGAAGCATTTAACTGATAAAAGATCAAAGACTACAGTCATCAGTACAAAAATCCTCACAACTGGACCAATAAGCAACATAATGATAAATGGAAAAGACTAAAGTTGTCAGATTTCATTTTCCTTGCATCCACAATCAACACCCATGGAAGCAGCACTCAAGAAATCAGACATCATATTGCACTGGGCAAATGTGCTACAAAAGACCTCTTCAAAGTGTTAAGAATCAAAGATGTCACCTTGAAGATGAAGGTGCACCTAACCCAAGCCATGGTATTTTCAATCACCTCAAATGCATGTGTAAGCTGGTCAATGAATAAGGAAGATGGAAGAAGAGTTGATGCCTTTGGATTGCAGTGTTGGTGAAGAACACTGAAAATACCATAGACTGTCAGAAGAACAAACAAATCTACCTTGGAAAAAGTATAGCCAGAATGCCCCTTGGAACAAGAACGCCTAGACTTCATCTCACCTACTTTGGTCATGTTGTCATAAAGGACCATTCCCTGGAGAAAGATATCATGCTTGGTAAGGTAGACGGTTAGCAAAAAAGGGGAAAGACCCTCAACAAGATGGACTGACACAGTGGCTGTAATGATGGACTTAATCCTTGGCCTAAAGCAAAGATTGTTAGGATGGTGAACAACCAGGCAGTGATTCATTCTGTTGTACACAGGGTCACTATGAGTCAGAGCTGACTCCATGGCACCTAACAACAACAAATGCTTTAACATGATTATTTTATTTAATCCTAACAACACTAATATAGCCTCACTTGGCAGCTGAAGAAACTTAAATTTGGAGAGGTTAGACAATTTGTCTAAAATCATGTTAACAAGGAAGTGCAAAAGCAGTGATTTTAAATAGGTCATCCCAAGCCTAGGGTCTTCACCACTAAATTTTATTCCTGGAACCATATTTATAATGTAATTCTAGCAAATCCTTTTATGTTCTTATTGTCTTCATTTCCCTAACGAATCAAAATTAGGCCTAAAAGTATGGAATATGTAAGGAATCAAAAAAAAAAAAAAACCTGTAAGAAATGTCGGGAGCTCTGGTAGCATAGTGGCTAAGACACTTGCCTGCTAACCAGACAGCTGGCGGTTCAAACCCACCAGCCACTCCTCAGAAGGAAGGTTGGGCAATCCTACTTCCGTAGTGATACTGCCTCGGAAACCCAAGGAGGGGTCACTATGAGTTGGGGCCGACTTGACGGCACATAACAACAACAACAACAACAACATAAGAAATGTCATACAGCTGTAAGGAGTCAAGAAAGGCATCAAATGGTTTCAAGGAATTAAATCAAGTGACAGTTTTTGTGACTGAGCAATATTGTTCTCTTGCTTAAATTCTCATGCCTAACAATGCACAACAATTCTGTTGTCCATAGGATTTCTCTATTCCTCAAAGAACACTTATAAAGCTCCATCACTCTATTCCCTTATAGTCTCTTGAACCTGTTATTTTTTTCACATAGCATATATCCTGTTCTTTCTACCTATTATAATTTGTAATGAGATAATGACTCGGTTTGTTCACCCCCATTAGGAGTTCTGGTAGCGTAGTGCCTAAGCCACTTGACTGCTAACCAGAAGGCTGGCGGTTCAAACCCAGCAGCCACTCCTCGGAAGGACGGTTGGGCAATCTACTTCTGTAGTGATACTGCCTCAGAAACCCAAGGAGGGGTCTCTATGAGTTGGGTCCGACTCAACCACACATACAATAACAACAGCATCACTACGTAAGTAGATTGCCCCATCTTTCTTCCGAGGAGTTGGGGGGGGGGGCAGTTTGAACTGCCAGCCTTCTGGTTAGCAGTCAAGTGCCTTAGGCACTATGCTACCAGAGTTCTGTAGTGATACCACCTCAGAAACCCAAGGAGAGGTGTCTATGATTCAGGTCCAACTCGACAGCAAATAACAACAGGTTTGTTCACCCACTAGACTGAAACTGCACAAGGGAAGAGTTTATATCTATTCTGCTCACCCTTGCATATCTAGGTCCAATACTGTGTTCAACAAATGTTTGTTGAATGAACAAATTAATGAATAGCCTTTTTCCATTTCTAGTTTAGGCCTAATTACTGCAAAGCTCAGCTTCTCCCTCTAATCCACTGTATTACAAATTAAAAAATTTTTTTCCAAAAACAGACATTAAAATGAAAAATAACATAATTTACAAAAACCAGTAAGACTGAAGAGAATGGGAAATGGTCTGTGTATCCCAAGTTCCTTTTGGCCTAATGTGCAGAAGATAATAGACACTGCCTAAAGTACAGAAGTTAAGATACAGGAAAATAAAGTATTCCAATTTATGGTCATAACCGTAATAGAAATGGCAAAAGTGGAGCTTTCATATTCTGATAGCTTTCTCTACTGTTTTTAAGGAGCTCTGATGATGCAGTGGTCAAAGTCGGTGGAGCTAACCCACTAGCGGTTCAAACTCACCAGCCGCTCTAAGAAGAAATATGAGACAGTCTGCTTCTGTAAAAATTTACAGCCTTGGAAACCCTATAGACCAGGCAGTTCTACTCTGTCCTATAGGGTCGCTCTGAGTCGGAATCAACTGATGGCAGTGAGTAGGCTACTGTTCCGTTAGCCGCAATTTCTTTCTTAATTCAGAAAGAAAAACCTTCAAATATTAACCACCTTCAAAGGTTCCCCTGGAGTCCAAAGGGCATCTGCCCATACTGTCCCACACTCTTCTACTATCAACTCACCATCCTCCTTCTACTACATAAACCACCCATCTCTACCACCAAGGTGCGGTAAGCTACCCCTCCAGCTTTGCCCCCACTTCAGACTCTTTGTTGTTGTCGGTTAGGTGGCTTCGATTTGGACTCATAGTCACCATATGACTGACTAGAACTACCCCTTAGGTTTCTCTTGGCTGTATGTAATCTTTACGGAAGCATAGCGACATGTCTTTCTCCTGCGCTCCGGGCACTAATCTGTGATTAATGCTATCCCTGTCACCAGGCGAGCAACCTCTGGGAACAGGGGCTTTGTCGCCAGTTCCTAGCACACAGTAACCTCTCAACCACTTCTGACTAATCCTCTGGAGAAGTTTGCGAAAGGGAGCTCAGCCCGCGTCACCCCTCACAGGCTCCCCGCCCGCTGGCCCCAGCCTTACGGTCCGAAGTGCGTGAGCGCCACAATCTTTCCGGAGGCAATAGTCGCCGGGCCTGGCTCGAAGCCGAGTGCCTGCAGATACATCCAAAGATGCTCCTTCTCGAAGGAGGGGACCCCGGAGACGCTCATCCTCGTGGTAAGCAGAATGAGGGTAAAGAAGAAAGGGCAGGCCAAAACGACTCGAAGAAACTTCAAAGTCCCTCCCTACCCGCAGACTGAGTGTGCGGCGGCCCCTCCATTGACACTTGGAGCCATTTCGCTTCAAAATGCCGTAATGTCTCCGGGAAATGGGCCTTCTAACCGCAGCGCGGCCACAGCCGCCTAGACGAAGCCACTACAAAGCGAGACTCCCGCGCTTCCGGGAGAGCAAAGCGTCCAATGAGGCGAGCGAGCTCGCGAGCGAGGGGGACGGAACTACAGGCACCAAGCTTCCCTGAGAAGAGGGACTTCTGAGGCGTTTGTATCTCCCGCCATGCACTGCGTCCAGTTCCACTTCCGGTGCAAGCGAGAAAGAACGAGACCCACCGGGCGCTGCTCTGCCGGTGAGCTGTGCAGGGCTTATTGCACCTCAAGCCCTTAGGCTCGCGAGTTCTGAGCTCTAGTTTTTGCAGTTCTTTTCGCTGACAATTTTCCTGTCAGATAAAGACCCTGGCTAGACAACTGTGTCTCCGTATAGTGGAAAGAGCACAGGGTTCCTTCCACACCTAATCTTACTAGCAGTGTGTGACCCTGAACAAGTCAACCCTCTGAATCTCCGTTTCCAGAGTTTTAACGTAGCCCTGTTAGGAGACCAAAAATGAAAACAAAATCAAATAGGTGAGAGTTCTATTATTAACTGAAGGGAAGATTGTGTTTATTTGTACGGTAAACAATTACTTGAGCTACTACTGTATGCCAGCCACTGTACTGGGCTCTGCCCTCAAATAGCTGACACTCTGGTAAGAAGACACGTTCTTTAAAAATACCCAAATGCCCATTGACACATTACCCACTGCAGTGTTTCATTCATTTTTTTTTACAAAAGTTTTATCAGTCAAAATCTTTAAAAAAAAAAGGCTTCCTGATCTGGTGAACTAGTGGAACCCCTGCGACTATGGCTCTTAGACACCCTTCAAACTAGGAACTGAACTAAAAACCCCAGTGACTCAACTAGCAACCAAATGATAGACAGACTTACAAGGTAAACAATAGTATCAAGAGGGTATGCACTCATTACAGCAATCAAGCATGTGAAATCAAGAGGACAGCATTTGACCAGGGATGGAGCTTGGAAGGCAGGAAGAGATGGGAAGGAAAAACAAAGAAAAGGGGTGGGTGCAGGGAGGAAATGGGAAGAATGCTGTTACAGTGTAGGAGTTGCAGTAAATGTTAGAAGACAGAATGTGTATGGATTCTTGAATGGAAAACCAATTTATTCTGTAAACTTTCACCCAAATCACAATTTAAAAGAAAAAAAAATGTATTAGAAAATCAAAGACACATGGAAATAATTAGTCCAAAAGACAAATGGACCAACAAATCCCAGCCTCCACAACACAGAACAGAAGAACTAGGTGGTATTCAGCTACCAGTGCTCTGAAAGGGATCACTATAAGAGATCCTGGATAGAGTGGGAGAAAAATGTGGAACAAAACTCATAAAATAATAGTAAGAAGACCAGGTTTTCTGGTCCGATAGAGGCTGGTGGAACTCCACAGACTATGGCCCTTAGACACCTGTAAGCCTGGAACTGAACTCACCCCTATGGCTCAACTTACAGACAGCCTATAAGGTGAACAATAACACCAGAGAGGTACACACTCCTTAGAATAACCAACCACGTGAGATCAAAAGGGCAGCATATGTGCAAGGATAAGGCTCAGAAATCAGGAAGGGATAGGAAAGAAGGACAAATGGAAACAGGAAACAGAAAACTGCTGTTACATTGTGGGGATTGCAATAAATGTCACAAATCAAAATGTGTATGAATTGTTGAATGAAAAACCAATTTGTGCTGCAAATTTTCATCCAAATCACAATAAAAAGTTAACAATAAATTTTAAAAATTGAGCATCTACTTTGCACTGTTTTAGGTACTAAAGAAAGAGTAGTGAACTAGGTAGACCAAGTGCCTATGCTCATGAAGCTTGCATTCTTAAGGGGAAGACAGTAAAAAGAAAGCAAATAAATAATTTCAAATACTAAAACAAGGTAAGATGGAAAGTGTTGGAAGGAGAAGTGATGGTTGTTTTAGTTACAACTATGTGGGAAAGCATCATTGTCAAGGTGACTTTAGAGGTGAGAGCTCAATGATGAAAAGGAGGCAGCCTTAGGAAGCGTCTCTGAGCAGAAAAAGGTGAGAATGAGCATCAACCTTGTTTATTTATTTATTCATGGAAAAGGAAATGTCAATATGGCTTGAGAATATTGGACACAGATGGATATAGTGTCAGTTGAAGGCACAGATATCCGCAGAGACCAAATCGTTTACAGCCATGTAGACAAGGCTAAGAAGTTTGGATTTTATTCCAAGTCCAATGAGAAAACATTGGGAAAGTTCTTAATCAAGGAAGCGGCATGATACATTACAAATTTTTGAAAGCTTTATTGACTGCTTGAATTGAATTGAATTGTGTCCCTAAAAAATGTGTTGTAAATTCCAATCCCTGTACTTGTGGATGTTTAATTGCTATTCATAAAGTTTTCCAGTGATACATCAGACAGTGTTTCACTGCTATTAATAAGGTTTTCAGGGGCTGATTTTTTTTTTGGAAGTGGATGGCCTCATCCTCTGCCTAGTCTTAGTCTGGAAGCTCTGCTGACACCTGTCCACCATGGCTGAACCTGCTGGTTCTTGAAATACTGGTGGCATAGCTTCTAGCCTCACAGCACCACACAAGCCATGACAGTATGACAAACTGACAGACAAGTGGCTGAAAACAAAGAATACCAGAAAGATGTTTACTGATGTTTCATTGACTATGCAAAGCAATTCGACTGTGTGGATCATAAGAAATTACGGATAAATTGCAAAGAATGGGAATTCCAGGGAGTTCCGGCAAGATGGTGGACTAGGCAGAAAGACTGCACAGACCCTCTTCAACAAAGAAAAGGGAAACCAATTAACAGAGACACAGAAGATAATCCTGGACCCCTGAGCCTT